ATTCGCCTCTCGCGCGTTGAGCTCCGCGTGCGCGGCGGGGGAGGAGACGAGGAGCGCGGCGGCGGCGCACGCGGCGGTCGCGACGCCCTTCGCGCGATCGATCCACGATGTCGTCGTCGTCGTGCCGACAGAAGCGACGACGACGGCGTCGTCGTCGGACGACGACGACGACGACGACGACGCGCGGCATCGCGCCGCGCCGACGGTCTTTCGCGTCTTCTTCGCCGCGACGACGGCGCGCGGCGCGCGGGCGACGCGCGCGTTACCACCGAGGACGAGCGCCATGACGAGCGGCGGCGTGCGAGGTCGCGCGCGCGTCGGCTGTTTGACGATGACGTGTCGTGTTCGGGGAAGATAAAGTTGAGTCCAGTCGTAGCGTAGTCGTCTATCGTCGTCGCGTCGGTCGCGTCGCGCGTGTTTTTACGTCTCTTCTCTTACGGCAACGCGCTCTCCCCACGCCGACGTCGAGGACGACCACTTCCTCCTTCTCGTCGTCTCCCTCCGCGCGCGCGCGCGTCGCCGCTCTCACTCCAAGTCCTCCGCCGGAGAAGACCGCGCCCCCGCGCGGCGACGCTCGTCGGTCCGCGACGCGCGGCGAACGAAGAAATCATTCAACGTACTCATTCGTTCGATCCGTTCGCCCCGCGTCGTCGTCGTCGTCGAACGCCCCGCCGCCGCTCTGTTCAGTCTCCTAGCCTCCTCGTTCTCCCACCCCATCAGTTCGTCCACGCGTCCGCCGCCGCGATGCCTGCGCCCGCGCGATGCCCGCTCCCGTCGCGTCTCGTCGTCGTCGTCGTCGTCGTCTTCGTCTTCCTCCGTTGTTCACATTTTTTTAATCGACGGATCGCTCGCTCGATCGATCCGGGGAAGAACCGCGTCTTCTCATCACATGGCGTACTTGCGCGTCCACTCCTTCGCCAGCTCCTCGTACCGCCCCCGATCGGTCTTGTAGATCTGCGCGATCTCCGGCACGAGCGGATCGTCCGGGTTCGGATCCGTGAGCAGCGAGCAGATGGACAGGAGGACTTTCGAGATCGTCAGCGCGGGGCTCCACTGCTCCTTTAGTATGTCCAAGCAGATGCTCCCTTGGCTATTCACGTTCGGATGATACACGCGCGTTTTGAAGTTCACCTTTGGCGGCTTGAACGGATAGTCCGGAGGGAACTGCGAGGGAAGAATGCGGGGGGGGGGGGCGCGAGGGGAGGAGGGAGGGAAGACGCGGAGGGAGGGAAGGGAAGGTCAGCGGCGAAACGTGCGACGGACGGACGCGAAAAAACCAAGGAGGCGAGTCGCTCAGATCCGCGCGCCGCTGCCCCCGTCGCCGCCGCGCCGCGATCGCCGCGGCGGGCGATCGCGAGCGCGGTGCGCGCGACGGGCGAGGGAGGAACGACGCGACGCGACGCGACGCGAGGGAGGGAGGGAGGGACCGGAGAGGGGAGGGAGGGACCCTAGCTAGTAGGGCGGAGGACGCACGTGGATGGCGACGAAGAAGAGTCCGCCCTGGTACGGCGAGTCCGCGGGACCGATGATCGTCGCGTCCCAGTGAAAGATGTCGTCGTCCGCCCTCGGTCCCGCGCTGCACGACGTCGGCGGGTCTTTTTGGAGGTCCTGGAGTTCACGCGGAGAGGGGCGAGGAGACGAACGCGTGAGCGATGGCGTCGGAGCGCGCGCGGAGACGCGCGGGGGAGGGCGAAGACGGAGGGAGGGTCGAGACGGCGAAATCGACGACTTCGTTTTCTCTCTCCTCGCGCGTCGCTCGCTCGCGTCCTTCTCTTCGACGCGCGATCGACGCGCGCGCGAGGGAGAAAACCTACGGGCGCGGCGGAGACGACGCGACGTTCGCGCACCTGCAACTCCTTGCAAATGCGTTTGGACGCCATCGCGGTGTCGGCTTTCTAAGGGTTTCGTGTGCGTGTCGCGCGTCGCGTGCGTGCGCGGGCGTGTGTGCCGGCGACGCGCGCGTGCGTCGGAGTTCGTCGTGTTCGTACCGCGCGGGAGACGCGACCTGACGAGGCCTTTCCGCGAATCGAGGAAAAATCTGTTCGACCGACGACCCGGTTTCAAAAGAGGGCGAGTTCTTCGTTGAAAGACGACGCGTTGAAAGGCGTTTCCCGATCGTCGCGATGCGAAACGCTGTAAGCGAACACTCTCACACTGTCAACTCGCGTTTTCCGCGCGGCGCTCCCGCATTGCCCATCGTCCATCGTCCGCGTCGTCCGTCCGTCCTTCGCTCGTTCGCGACGGACGATGGAGCCGGAACCGACGGAGCCCACGTCGCCATATGCGGCTTCCTCCCCGCGCGCCGACCCCGCACCCCTCGAGACCTTCGTCCCCGACGCCGCGGGCTCCGACTTCCCCATCCAGAACCTCCCCTACGGCGTCTTCGTCGTCAAGCCCGATCGCGGGCTGTCGAAGCTCGACGCCGTTCGCGCGCGCGTCGGCGTCGCGATCGGGTCGCGCGTGCTCGACCTCTCGTGGCTCGCGAGCGAGGACCTGCACGTCGTGGGCGACCGCAAGCTGTGCGAGCACAAGTCCCCGTGGCTCCTGGACGTCCCGGGAGCGTACGTGGTGACGCGGCGGTATCCGATCGGATTCGATCGTTCCTCCATCTTCTCGAGCGGAACGTTGACGCCGCTGATGCGCGCGGGGGCGAAGACGTGGCGCGCGATGCGCGCGCGCCTCCAGGCGTTGCTCGCCTTGCATCCCATCCCCGGCGTCCGGAACCTGCGCGCGCCCTACGACGTCACCGGGATGTGCTTGTACAAGATGGAAGACGTCGAGATGCGAATGCCGTGCGACGTCGGCGACTTTACCGACTTTTACGCGTCGAGAGAGCACGCGACGAACGTCGGGACGATGTTTCGCGGGGCTTCGAACGCGCTCAACGAGAACTGGGCGGCGCTGCCGGTGGGGTACCACGGCCGCGCGTCCAGCGTCGTGTGCTCGGGGACGAACATCGTTCGGCCGAGGGGGCAGATATTGAAAGACGCGTCGTCGTCGTCGAGCGGCGGAACGTCCGAGGCGCGTCCTCCTAGTCACGCCGGTCCCCATACGACTGCGTTGGCGTGGTGAACGCCGATCCTTAAGGACTTTCTCGCCCGGCGTTTCTCTCCGCCTACCCCACGGTTTCAATCCCCGCCCTCGACGCCTTTCAACTCCGCTTCTGACACCTTTCAACTCCGCTTCTGATGCCTTTCGACTCCGCACGGAACGACCCTCAGACGACGTACGCGCCGACGGCGAAGCTCGACTTCGAGCTCGAGGTCGGCGTCTTCGTCGGCGGCGCCGGGAACGAGCTCGGGGTCCCGATCAAGATCGCCGACGCGAGCGAGCACGTGTTCGGGTACTGTCTGCTGAACGACTGGTCGGCGAGGGACGTGCAGAGGTGGGAGTACGTCCCTCTGGGGCCGTTCGCGAGCAAGTCGTTCGCGACGACGATCAGGTGCGCGGCCGCTCACCACCGCACGATCGTCCACGTCATCTATCCACGGCCACTCACCACCGCACGATAGTCCACGTCATCGATTACTGAATAGTACTAACCAATACCGAACCTCCACGTGTACATGCGCGACGACAGTCCGTGGGTCGTCACCGCGCTCGCGTTGGAGGACGCGCGGTGCGCGGCGCCGGCGCAAGATTTGAGGAAGCCGTTGCCGTATCTGGTGGAGGACGATAGGCACGTGTCACACTGGTCCCCGTACGACCGCGTTGGCGTGGTGAACGCCGATCCTTAAGGACGTTTCCCGGCGCATCTCTGCGCCCACCCCTTGCGTTCAATCCCGACACACCTCGACGCCTTTCAACGCCATCTGACGCCTTTGAACCTCACCCCGATATCATCGCTCGTGTGGACCCTCGACCCTCAGGCACGCGTTGGACGTCAGCTTGGAGGTGCGCGTGCGCGCGAACGCGAACGCGAACGCGAACGCGAGCGGCGGCGCGGGGCGGCGACGCGAGAGCGGCGAGACTCCCCCGGGCGGCGCGGCGTCGGAGACGGCGTCGGCGTCGGCGTCGCCGTCGCCGCCGCCGCCGCGCGCGCCCGTCGCGCGCAGCAACCTGCGGCATCTGTACTGGACCCCGGCGCAGATGATCGCGCAGCACACGTCCACGGGGTGTAACCTTCGCCCCGGCGACTTGTTAGGCACCGGGACGATATCCGCGCCGAAGGGAGAGGGCACGCCCGGGTGTTTGCTCGAGCTCACCGAAGACGGCGCGAGACGCGTCGCGATCGGCGACGGGTCGGGAGCCACGCGAGCGTATTTGGAGGACGGCGACGAGGTCGTCATCACCGGCGCGGCGGTCACGCGAGAGGGGGTGCGGATCGGGTTCGGGACGTGCGTCGGGGTCGTGTTGCCCGCGCTCGATGAGTGAGACGCGACAGGGAGCGAAGACGCGCGCTCGGCGAGGCGCGCGGACGCGTTCAGTTTTTAATAGGTGCAAAGTGTTTCACCCACCGCTCGGTTTCAACACTTGATCGTGTTCCCTTTCAACTGAACGATATTTTGTATGGAATGGCTCATAAGAGCTCCGCTCCGAGTTACGGTATATTCACGTGCTGTGACGCATCATGACGGCATCGCGTCGGCAGTGGTTCGTGCAACGACAACGACATCGCCGCGCGCGCGCGACCGCGCGACCGCGACCCGCGACCCTCGCGTTCGGCGTCGCGCGTCTCGTATCTCTCTCCTATCTCGCGTCGTCGCCGCGCTCGCGATGACGCCCCGCGCGGGCGGCGCCGCGCGCGTCTACGCGCTTCTCGTCGCGTTCGCGTGCGCCGCCGTCGTCCCCGTCCCCGTCCTCGGCGCGGCATCGGCGATCGTAACGGTCCACGGCGGCGCGACCGAGGTTCTCGAGCTGCACGGGTCCGGGACGACGAACCCGTCGAAGCTGTTCTGGAAAGTCATGGACATCCTCGAGGAGCGGTCGAAGAAGCCGCTGACGATGACGTATCGCGCCGTCGGTGCGTCCGCGCGCGCGTCCCCCGCGCCGACGATCCCGAAAGATTAATTACCTTTTTCTCGAAAGCAGATCCCTCGCTCGTTCCGAGAAAAAAATAACATCATTCGTCCCCTCTCGCGTCCTCTCTCCCGATCAGGCTCGAGCACGGGCCAGTGCGAGTTCAAGGGCGACTGCGGCTCTGACTGGACGCAAGACGCCTCCAACGCCGGGAAACCGGCGACGCACTTCGGCAGCGGAGACATCCCGTTCAGCTCGGCCGATCACGCCGCCATCTCGACGACGGCTCCCGCGCGTCCATTCATGCACGTCCCTTTCATGATCGGCGCGATCGGCGTGTTCCACTCCGTCCCCGCGGACGACCTCCCCGCGTCCACGCGCGCGCTCAATCTCGACCGATGCGTGCTGTCAGGGATCTTTCAGCGGCTCATCACGACGTGGGACCACGCGGACATTCTCGCGTTGAACCCCGGGTTTTCCCCGCCCGCGGGGCAGCCGATCAAAGTGGTCGCGCGCGAGAACGGGTCGTCGTCCACGACGCTCACCGCGTTGTACCTCAGCACCGCGGGCGCCGGGTGCGCGTACGCATGGAAGCTCGGCACCGGATCGGGCGGCCCGGGGACGTGCTCGACGACTGCCGCGCTCGCCGTCGGATCGACGACGGGCGCGCGCAAGTGCCCGGACTGGGAGTACACCGCCCCCGCGGCGTCCGGATCCGTGGTGTACGCGCAGGGCTCCGGCGGCGTGTCCGGGTACCTCGCGGCGAACCCGTACGCGATCGCGTACATCGACTCGGGGCACGGGCACGCCGTCGGCGCGAGCGAAGTCAAGGTCTCCGCCAAGGACGGAACGTTTATCTCGTCGAAGGAGGCGGACATCCCCGCCGCGGCCGCGGCGGCGATCACCGCCGCCGCCTCGGACGCGGCCTCTCCGCTCAATCCCGCGAACGCGGCCGCCCCAAACACCATCGTGGACGCGTTCAAGCGCTCCTGGCACGACGTGACGCTCATGAACCAAGGCGGAGGGTCGTTTCCGATATGCACCTTCTCGTACATGTACATCGACACCGACCCGAGTTACCTCAAGGACGCCAGCGGCGCGCTTCTCAAAGCCTTCGCGCAGTTCATCTTGAGCGAGGAAGGCCAGCGCATGCCCGCGGAGTTTGGGTTTTACCCCCTCCCCGTCGGCACGGGAACTCTCGCGTCTCCGGAGTCGACCTCGCTTCTGAAGAAGGCGCGCGACGCCGTCGACGGACTCGCCCCCGGCGGGTCGCCGACGGCGTGGACGTTCGAGTCCGAGTCCTCCACGCGAAAGGGCGAGGGCCAGGGCGACTACGTCTTCTCCGGGAAACGCACCGCGTACGCGGACTACGAGCGCGCGAAGATCGTCACCGACGTCGCGTCGATCAAGACGCAGATCCTGGACTTGCAGTACAACGAGGTCGTGCAGCTTCACGGCTCCGGGACGACGAACCCGCAGAAGGTTTTTTGGAAAGTCATGGACATCCTCGAAGAGCGCGCGCGCGTGCCGATGTCGATGTCTTACCGCGCCGTCGGCTCGAGCACGGGCCAGTGCGAGTTCATCGGGAGCTGTTCCTCCGGCACGATCGTGAACTCGCCGGCGTTCGTGCCCTGGAATCACTTCGGAAGCGGCGATATCCCATTCTCGAGCGCCGATTGGACGTTTCTCACGAACACCAACTCGAAGCCGTTCATTCACGTGCCTTTCCAGCTCGGAACGATCTCGTTCTTTCACTCCGTGCCGTCGTCGTACGGCGAGATCAAGCTCGACGCGTGCACGCTCGCGAAGATTTTTAAGACGGACATCAACACCTGGGACCACGCGGACATCAAGGCTGCGAACCCGGGGTTCAACCCTCCCGCGGGCGCCGCGATTAAAGTCGCGCATCGAACGCACGGCTCGTCGTCCACGTCGCTCTCCACGCAGTACCTCAACCTCGCGTGCAGTAGCGCGTGGACGCTGACCGGCAGCACGATCACGTGGCCGGCCAGGACGCACGCGGTCGAAGGCAGCGGCGGAATGACGACGTACCTCCAGTCGAACCAATTCGCGATCGGCTATCTCGACAGCGGGCATGGCATCGCCGCCGGTCTCTCCGAAGTCGAGCTCAAAAACGCCGCGGGACGGTACCTGAAGTCTTCCCAAGCGGACGTCGCGGGCGTGACAGCCTACGTGACCTTGCCCTCGAGCGCGCAGGCGGACTGGTCCGCGGTGTCGCTCATGAATAAGCCCGGAGCCTTGACGTGGCCGATCACGACTTTTTCGTATCTGTACGTTCGAAAAGACCTCACGTCGATGGGGCGCTCCGGCGCCGCGGTCAAGGCGTTCGCGCAGTTCCTGCTCTCGGACGAAGGTCAGGCGATGCTCCCGGAGTTTGGGTTCTACGGCGTCTCCTCCGCCGTGAAAGCGCTCGCGAACGCGGGCCTCGCGTCGGTCAAGCTCGCGTCCACGGCGCCCGCTTTCATCTTCGAATCCGAAGCCACGACGCGAAAAGGCGTCGGGCAGCAGTACTACACGCTGTCCGGCAAGCGAAAGACGTACGCGGAGATCGAGCGCGCGACGTTCCGCGCCGAGCTCAACGCGATGGTCGTCAAGTTTAACGCCCTGAAAGCGCAGCACGACGCGCTCGCGGCGACGATGACGACGACGTACAAGTACGAGAACACGACCACCGTCTACGTCGGCAATCCCAACAAGGTGCGTTCTCCTTACACTGGTCCCCATACGACCGCGTTGGCGTGGTGAACGCCGATCCTTAAGGACTTTTGCCAGCCTTTCTCTCCGCCCACCCCTCGGTTTCAATCCCCGCCCTCGATGCCTTTCAACTCCATCTGACGCCTTTCAACTCCACCCCGACATACGGAACAAGAACGACGGCGCGGGGCACGAGGAGCACGAGTGGATCGAGCAGAAGGCGGACGTCGCGCTCGCGCTCGCGCTGATCGGCTTCCTCCTCGCGGTTCCCGCGCTCGTCATGTCCGCGGTCGCGACGCACCGGATTCGGTTCTTGGGGCAGTCGCTCAACGTGCATAAGACGTTGGGGCAGGGTCTCTTCGAGGAGCAACGCAACCCGCCGGGGGAGCAGCGTGACTTCGGGTACCCGCCGCCGCCGCCGCCTCCGGGTGAAGAGTAACCCGTTCGCGCGCGTCGACGTCGTCGGACCCGGCGGGCTGCCCACGACGGCGATGCCGCTTCCGCGCGCGTGAGCGTCGGCGTCGGCGGCATTGGCGCGACGCGACGTTTCGTGACGCGCGCGGCGCATCATCGAGACCATCGAGAGCTACGCGACGGCGCCGATCGCACGCGGCGGGTACGGTGACCGAAGGCGTGGACTTAAAACCGGCGACATCGTCGGCGTCCCCTTCGTGATTTACCCGTTCGCGCGATCGAGCGCGGGGGCGCGAGCGCACTTGCATTTTTCATCAGTTTTTCAGTTTTTCAATTTTCGGCGTGCGAAGTTTTTAGGAGGTTCGGCGGCGGGGCGTTGGCGCGACCGCGACGGGCGCGTCGTCGCGACGTTCGTCTCTCACCGGGACGCCTACAGAATACGCGCGAGAAGCGCGGCGGGGTGTTCCGACAGAGTGGACGGACGCGGTAGCGACAGATGTAACGAGGAGTTAGCCCGTAGCCTCAGTCGCGGCTGTCTTCTGAAACGCTCAACCGCTTCCGATTCCGCCCGTCCCGCTTCCGCTTCCGTTCGTCGCTCGCGAGGCCTCGACCGCTCGAAGCGGCGCGGCGGCTGGGTGCGGTCTGCGGTGTACCGACCGCTGCCCGCGGAGAGTTCGACTTCGCGCGCGAGGGCGCGCCACTTCCGCCGTCGCGGAGAGGACGCGCGTCGCCCCCGCGCCGTCCGCGTTCGCGCGTCGCTCCCGCGGAACGTCGACGCGTCCGACGCGCGGCGCGCGCGACTCGCTCGCGCGCGATCGACCGCGCGTGATCACAATCGATTTCAGCGCGCGCAAACCTCATCGAAACGTCGGACGGATCGATCGCGGACCGTATCCGATCGCCCGTCGCCGCGCCCGCGCGCTTCCCCCCCCCCCCCTCCCCCCCGAACGGCGTGAGCGAAACTCGCCGCCGAGATGGGGTTCGCGTGCTGCGGGGGTAAGCCCAAGGCGGACGCCGACGGCCCGGCGGGCGGCGCGGGCGACGGGACAGGGAAGAAGCCCGCGGTCAAGTCGCCGACGAAGAAGCAGGCGAAGAAAGAGCTGATCGCGGAGCTCGAGTCCAACGTCCCGACGCAGGTTGGCGCGTGGCACGAAGCCATGGACGCGATCGAGTGGAGCGGCCCGAAAGTCCCGGAGACCGCGCCGAGCGAGGAGGAAGAGCCGCTCATGGTCCCGGAGCAGAAGACGATGATGCAGGGGATGCCGATGTTCCCGTGGGAGGTGGGAGAGTGGACGGCGAAGCAGTACCGAGAGATCATGGAGGCGTGCGCGCGGGACATCAACCTGGACGCGTCCAAGGGGAGGCCGGACTGCACGAAGCTCAGCACGGAGGCGAAGATGCATCACCTGCGAAGATGCATCGCGGACGTGCTGAAGAGCAAGGTGTACCACTTCATGCTTCGAATGTTCGAAGGCCCCGAGCTCGAGCTCGAGGTGGCGTCGCATCGCTTCCTCTCGCGGCTCCTGCGCGGGTGCAAAGACTCCATATACTACAACATCGACAAGCCGTTCCCGGAGGCGTACGCGGACGTCGCGGAGTCCAAAAAAACCGGCGCGGCGGCGTACCTCCGGATGTTCCTCGTCCGATTCGCGAAGCGCTTTCCCCCCGCGCAGGGTTTCGTGAACCCCGCGTACGACTCCCCGGCGTCGCGCGAGCGAATCATCTCCGAGTGCGGCGAGCAAGGCTTAGCGCTGTGGAACTTCATGGAGGCGACGGAGCACCACCCCGCGGCGTGCGTCTTACTCCCGAACAATAAGACGATGAAGGCGTTCAACGCGGTGCCGAAGCCGTGGTCGTGGAAGGCGGTGAATCTCTTTTACGAGTACGCCATATGCGAGCCGTCGTATCGACTCGCGGATCAGGCGTCCATCTTCATCATCGACACCGGGAAGCTCGGGATGACGATGTGGACCGCGAGCGTCATCAAAGCCGTCGCGTCGCAGCTCGCCGCGGCGCAGTTCCACCCGGAGCCGTTCAGCGCTTTCGTCATCGCGCACTCTCCCGCGTTGTTCAACTTCGCGTGGAGCATCGGAAAGTATTTCATCACGGAGACGGCGCGCGAGAAGTTCGTCGTGCTGTCCGGCAGCGCGGCCGCGCACTTCGAGAAGATTGGCGTCGCGCGCGAGCACATCCCGCCGGAGATTGGCGGGACGTCGAAATCGGAGGTTCTGTTGAAACCCCCGGACGTGTTGAGAAGGATGATGCACAAGCGGGCCATCAACGCGCACTACGAGCAGTACGGCGACGACCTCAAAGACATGGAGGACTCCGCGTTCGAGTCCCTCGGGACGCTGTCGCCGAACAGCAGCTCGGACGACCTCGGGTCGATGTCGTTGATCAAGCGCGAGAGTTTACGGCGAGAGAGTTTCGGCGTGAGGCGGTTCGGGAAGAATAAGACGGCGCTGTTGGCGGCGAAGACGGCGAGGAACACCACCGTGATCGTCTTCATGTTCGTGATGGCCTACGTGATCTTCATCGTCATGCGCGTGGGGGGCGACGCGCGACGGGCGCGGGAGATGCTGACCGCCGCCGCGATGGCGGCCGCGGCGAGCGCGTCGTCGCGGGCGTCAAAATAAATAACTAGAGTTGGGGCGGGCGGGCGGCGCGGAGGACGCGGCGCGACGGGACGGCGGCGGGGGGATCGATCGAGATCGAGATCGAGTTCGAGATCTCGGCTCGGGTCGCGTGTTCGACGAGCGACGTCCGCACCGCGATCAACGCGCGCGACGTACGCGTTGCTCGGTGACTTCGGTCGTTTAATACTCGTAGATCTACAACGGTAAATACATTACAGTCTGTCTAGGGTTCACCGGCGGACGTCGATCGATCGGACGTCCGCGGTTGGTTAACATACTAGTTGTCGTTCGCTTCCCGTTCCTCCTCGTTCATCTCTTATTAGTAATTAATCCTTCAGCGACAGGAGCAGGCACGCGCCGCGTCGGATCCAGTGATCGTTCCCTTGCGAGCACGGCATTCGAATGTCCATCACGAAATTCGTCGAGTGCCCCGTCGTGGACAAGATCCCTCGTCTGTCCGCGGTCTTATACAGCGGACAGCTGTAGTGCGTGTACTTCTTAAAGTCCTTCACCTGCGCGGGCATCATGTGCACCCCCGGCGCGGGGCAGTACAGCACCTTGGGCTCGGACTCGCACAGCGAGCGCTCCGCGGGGGACCACGCGGCGCCGTCGAGGTGCATCCCGAAGCAGTACACCCCGTCCTCGGGCTTCGTCGTGAACGACGACTCGTCGCCGTCGAGGACTTGGTAGTCGAAGTCCACCTTGTCGATCTCCACCTTGTGCTTCCGCGCGTAATTTTGCTTCGACCCGGTGAGAAACGCCTGCGTGAAGAAAAACGCGTACAGAGGAAACGTCGACGGGATCCCCTCGTCCACCCACTTGCGGAAAAACGCCACTCTCTCCACCACCTCCCTAAAGTACGACCCCAGCGGCTTCAGCGACGGGAACGACTTCTTCAGCCACTTCGCGGGCACCTTGCCGTCGTACAGCGCCTTGCCAACCTTATCGAGCTCGTCGCTCATGAGCACGAGGCCCTTCACCGCCTTGCCCAAGTTCACGAGCGAGTTGCGAATCACCGTCAGCAACACGTTCACCCTACCGAGCTCCTGCGTCAGCACCGTGTTCATGCTCTCGTAGTACTCCACCGGGTACGCCTTCTCCGCGAGCTCGATGTCGAAGTTCGGTGGCAGGCGCTCGATCAGATCCGCGGCGACCTCGCCGATCACCTCCTCGGCGGATTTCCCGCCGCCGCTCTCGTCGCGCGACTGGGTCATCATGAACGCGTCGAGCGTCGACTCCGTGTCCAAAACGTCCTTCGTGATGTCCGCGTTGGCGTGGAAGCCGTACACCTCCGCGGCGGCGATCAGGGGCAGGGTGTTGACGTAGTCCAGGTACGACTGGTACTCGCCGTGCTCCGGGGCTCTGTACAGGCCGCTGTCCGAGAAGGCGTACCCGTCGGTCAAAATTTCGGGGCAATAGAAGAGCTTTAAGATGCACTCGACTGTAACGCGATCGTGCCCATCCGTGACTTTGCCGCCGTAGTTGCACTCGCCGCACGTGTACGACAGCGTGTCGTACGGCACCTCCTCGTACTCGTCCAAGAACATCTTCAGCTGTCGAATCGAAATTCGTAGATCGTTCTCGTTGAACTCGTACGGGATGTTAAATCCGATGGCGCCGTACTTTCGACGCTCTTGCATGTACGAGTGGAAAAACGCGAGGCCGAAGACCATCTTTCGCCACGCCTCGGGTTTCGAGCACGACTCGTAAAACTCCGGGTCGGACAGAGGATCGGACGTGAACGTGCGGAGCAGACCGGCTCGCAAACCCTTCGGCGCTTCGTTCGTCATCTTCACGCTGTTCTCCAGGATCGATATCGGGAATATCGGCGACGGGTACGACGTCAGCCAGAGCCTGAATTTTGGATGGATGACGCCTTCGCCGGCGGCGGCGTCGGCGGCGGCGTCGGCGTCGCCGCCGTCGCCCTCGCCGTCGCCCTCGCTCTCGCTGTCCTCCTCCGCGTCGGCGGCCGCGGCCGCCTCGGGATCCACCTCGGACAACTTCTTCACCTTTTGCTTGATCTTGATCTCGCAAACTTGCTCCAACTCCGCCATGAACGACGCCGCGAGGTGGCAGTTTTGCAAGATGACCCAGAACCCCTCGCGCATCGCCTGCTCGATGAGCCTGATCGCGGTCGGGCCCTGGCCTTGACCCAGACTGACCGCCTCGACGCGCGTGTTATTCCGAGACGCCGCGAACGTGAGCAGGTTCGCCATCGGGTCCGAGCCCGCGGACAACACGAACACCAGAGGCACGCCCGGGGAGGAGTCCTCGAAGCACGCGCCCAGGTCAAACGGCAACGGCTCGACGTACCTCCGACCCATGACGTCGGATACGTAGTCGGTGATCGCGGGGACAACCTTATCGGGGCGGAACGCGCGCAGGACGATCATCCTCTGCAGCGGCGCGAGCTGCTCGTGCCACGGTTCCGGGAACGCGACGCTCTGCGGCTCCGTCGAGTCGTACAGCACCTTCCATCGGCTCGGATCCGCGATGACGTCCGCGACGAGATCCCCCTTAGGGCCGTTCTATACAAGCGAACGTCGGGGTGGAGTTCATAGGCGTCAGGTGGAGTTGAAAGGCGCCGAGGGCGAGGATTGAAAGCGAGGGGTGGGCGGAGAGACACGCCGGGCAAAGTCCTTAAGGATCGGCGTTCACCACGCCGACGCGGTCGTATGGGGACCAGTGTATAGAACGCACCTTGGCGCGCATCCCGGGAAGGTCCCGCGATCGAAGGAGCTCGCCCCACGCCTTATCGCTCAGCCACTCCGGCGCCGGGTTCGCGATCGCGTTCTCGCCCGTGGAGATCCCGCCGGTGAGGAAGAATCGCAGCTCCTCGCCGTCGATCTTCATCGCCTCTCTCTTCGCGTGGTCCTCCTCCGCGACGGCGACGCGGCGGCGCATCGCGTCAACCTCCTCTTCCACCGCCGCGACGACGTCCTTGTGCGCCTTCTTGTCCTCCTCGAGCTCCTCCTCGAGCTCCCTCAGGCGCTCGCCCTCGTCGTCGGACCCGCCCTCGGGGTTCGCGCGCTCGGCCGCGATGGCGTCGCGGAGCTTATCGAGCGCTTCTTCGCCGAGGCGAATCTTCTCTCGCGCCGCGGCTTCCTCCTCCGCGACTTTCGCGCGCACCTTTTCAACCTCCTCGGCGCCGGCGCCGCCGTCGTCCGCGAGCAAAATCTTCGTCGCGATCAAGAAGGCGTACAGGAGCTTATCCTTCTCAAACAGCGACCGACACACGTTGACGTACAGGAAGAACGTGAAGTGCGACGTGATGTTCTTCAGCCTCGTCGGAACGTCCACGGAGAGCTCCGCGTCGTCGATGCCGCGGATGAATAAATCCGTGAACCACTGGAGCGAGTACTGGTACATGTCGCCTATGTTCGCGAGGTCGACGACGCAGAAGAACATGATGCTGCTGTGCTTCGCGAGCGGGCGGTACCCGGCGCGGGTTTCGTCGATCGCCGCCTCCGTCTCGTCCGCGACTTTTTGCTTCTCGGAGATTTCATCCGACAAAACCTTCGACGCGCTGAGAATTTTCACCGCGCCCTCGTCCTCCAAGATGTTCCCCTCCGACGACGACAGCACCTTCAAAATCTGATCCTCGATCTCCTTGAGCTGCTTCTTATTCGCCGCGCCCGCGATGATGAGCTGATTCTTCTCCTCCGCGAGGTCCGGACGCTCCTTGCCGACGATCACGCCCAAGAGCTGATCCTCGAGACCGTCCGGGGTGATCATCATGTTGAGCAGAGAAACCTTCGTGCACAGCTCGGGCGCGTAGTGCGGGTTGCGCATCTTCGTGGTGATGTAGAAGGAAAACTCTTTGTTGTACTCCACGGTCGCGTCGCCGAGCTTGATGCACAGCGCGCCGCCTTGTTTGAACGTCTGCTTCAATAGCAGCGGCTCGAGCGACGCGTCGAGGCTCTCGCCGACGTTCTCGAGGAGCACGGGTTTGCCAAACTGCAACGCGTTTTCAAGCGTGCGCATGTAGTCCGCGTCTGAGAGCTTGATGGATATCAACCCGCGCTCCTCCTCCATGGACCGGATCCACTTGTTCGCCTGACCTTGCGGGTCGATGAACAGCGGCCAGCGCCGGCCAAAGTCGAGCATCACGCCGTTCTCCGCGCTGAAGTTATCCTTCGGAAGGCCTTGGATGTTCCACTGGCGAATTTTCACCTGGTCACCGAGCACGTTGACGAGCGCGTACTTGGGGTCGCACGGAATCCCGCCAGCCTCCGCCAGCTGTACCCACCGCGCGGTCGTCTCCTCTCGGTACGTCGCGGTGAACGCGCCGAGGTACGATATGCACCCGGAGGAGAGGAGGATGTCGCCGGTGAGCGCGTCGTAGTCGATCACGAGCTTCTTCGCGGCGGCGGTCCATCGGACCTTCTCGCCGCCCAAGCCGTCGATGAGCTTCCGCGCGCGCTCGAGCTTGACTTTGCACATCTCCACGTCCGCCTCGAGCTGCGCTTTCGTGTCTTGCTTCCCCTTCAGATCGTCGTTCAGGGCCTGGACTTTGTCCACCACCTTTTGCAGCTCGTCTTGCTTCACCTTGAGCTGCTCCATGACGATCGCGAGGTCGGACTCGGCGCCGGCGAGGGCGATCTTCTTCGGGCCGACGACTTTCGCGACGCGGTCGTACGCCTCCATCGCTCGGACCCAGCAGCATAAGCCGTACGCAGCCATGGAGGCTTTCTTGATCTTCTCCGGCGCGAACTCGGGCTTCTTGATGATCGGTCGGATCTCTTTGATGATCTTCGGCTTGATGTTGTCCTTGTCGTACGAGCGAAGGGAGTCCAAAAACTTGTCGTTCATGAGCATCTTCTTCGACGCCTCCCAGTAATCGTTCCCCATCTTCCCCGTGTCCGGGTCCTTCATGCGCACGGGTTTCACGCCCTTGCAGATGCACACCGCCTTCATGACGAGCTTCACCGCGGGCGGCGGCGCTTTCATGCCCTTCACCTCCGTGATGTCGTTCTTCGTCAGCGTGTCCAGCGCGGCGATCGCGGCGTTAAGAAGCGGCATCGCCTCGGCGAGGTCGCCCTCGCACTCCTCTTTGATAGCCTTGACGCGCGCCGCCTCCTCCGACGCCGTCGCCTCGTCCTTCGCGACGACTTCTTTGATCTTGTCCGCCTCCACCGTCTCCGCGGCGATGGTCACCATCGCGGCTTCGGTCTCGACCGTGGCCTTCTCGAGCTCGGGCTGCAACGCGGTGAGCTCCTCTTGCATCGTCGCGACGGATTGCTCCGTGACGACGAGCTTTTCCAAGCCGACTTCGTATCGCTTCCGCACCGTCATCACCTCGTTCTGTTTCTTCTTCAGGAGGTCCTTGTACGAGCTTATGAGCTCCAAGTACGACGTCGGGGTGACGTAGAAGTGCCGTCGCGCTTCGCTGAGGAAGCGCGAGGAGAGCTTGTGCACCGAGCTGTGCATCGCGACGCACATGTCAGACAACGGCGCTTTCATCTCGTCGGGGACGTTGACATCCGACAAAAACTCAGTCGCGACGTTCTTGAGCGCGTCCTCGGGCCACGCGCTGAACCAGTCGATCGTCGTGCACGTCACGAGCGACGGGAACTTGCGAAGGCGCTCGCGGAACGCGTCGCCGACGGGGGAGAAGCACAGGACGACGTGCAAGTTTTTCTTCACCTCGGACGTGAAGAAATTTCGCATCAAGTCTTTGCTGCCGTCCATCCCCGCCGCCTTCGCCCTGCCGCGGATGTTCTCGAAGATCGTGGAGTAGTCGCTGTTATCCATCAAGTTCGGCACCTCCGCGGTGTTCAGGATGTTCGAGATGTCCTCCACGAAGTACTCGTGATTGATTTGCGTGTCGCTGAAGAGGAAGACGGTATTTTTGTTCGCCTCGCCCGCCATCTTCATCATCTTCTTCAGGTCGTCGTGCCACTCCGCCTTGCCGTAGGACTTACTGATGGCGATCTGAAAGACGTTAAAGTCCGCCATGACCGCGGCGAGGCGCGTGAGCGACTGCCTCCCGCTCCCTCCGACGCCGACCAGCAGCGCGTGCCCGCCGGGCTGAGAGATGATCCTGCAGATGCGGCACACGTGCTCGAGCGCGTATAGGAACAACACCAAGTGCATCGGTTTTTTCGACGTCGAGTTGAAATCGGAGAGGTACTCGCCGACGACGTCCACGACCTGGTCAAAGTCGTCCAGCTCCGCGTAAATCTTCGGGTCCGCCCCGGGGACCATGAAGTCGCCGAACATCAGCCGTCTGAGCTCGTGCGCGTCGATCTCGCCGTCTTCGTTGACGTCCAACCGCGCGAAGACTTTGTTGAACTCGCCCACCGCAGACTTGAAGTGCTTCTCCGTCAGGCGCTTCGCGAGCCCGAAGAACCACTCTCGGTCCGGCTCGTCCGTGAGTCGATCCGCGAACACGCGCAGAGACTCGTGCACCCACAGTCGCGCGAGCTGCGGCGCGTCCTCGATCGACGCGGACGTCGTCGAGCATATCCCCTGAAACACCTTCGAGACGTCTCGGAGGTTAAACGTGTAGTGCGACTTCATCGGCGTGGGGAGGAGCTCGAGCTGCACCGTCTCGTACAGGTCGATCGTCGCGTCCACGAGCCTCGTCTTGAGCTTGACCGCGGCGTCGGGGATCTCTTCCTTCTTTATCCACCAGTCGACGAGCGTGCCGAAGATTTTGCTCATCGTCTCGCCGTCGAACGGCGTCGCGCACACGACGCTGAAGTGCCGCAGGTATCGGTTCGTGACGTTGTTCCGCCCGCCGCCGGGCGGGCCCATCGCGGCGATGATCTGCGTGTCCACGAGCTTTCGAAACACGAGCTCTTTGCGATCGTACCACCCGCTGTAGTCCATGAACTGTCGCAGCAGCTCGATGGGCGGCTGCGCGCCGTACTCTTCCACCTGCGGCATGTTCAGGTCGTCCACGAAGACGACCATCTTCTTCCCCGGCGGCGGCCCGTACACCCCCTTCCTCCGCTTGTCCATCTTCCCGTCGACGATGTCCTGCAAAGCGAAGTCGGGGTGGAGTTGAAAGGCGTCAGATGGAGTTGAAAGGCATCGAGGGTGGGGATTGAAACCGAGGGCTGGGCGGAGAGATGCGCCGGGCAAAGTCCTTAAGGATCGGCGTTCACCACGCCGACGCGGTCGTATGGGGACCAGTGTGTAGGACGCACCTGCGTCATGTTCGCGCTCGTCTGCGCGCTGAAGTTCATGAACAGGTACGAGTACTTCTCCGGGTCAATACCGTTCGCGACGTGCTGTTTGATGTACGCCGTCTTTCCCGTGCCCGTGGGGCCGACGAAGAGAAAGTTTTTCTGATGGAGGACGAACGTGTCGATGAGATACGTGTATCGAATCGTGTCCACGGTGGGGACGATGATCGACGTGTACGTCGCCTCCTCCGCGATCGGCGCGTCCTCCTGCGTCGCCGTCCACTTCGCCCACTGCCCGGTCGCCTTGTCAAACACGAAGTCGTACACCGTCGCGCCGTTCGCGTCCGGAATGAGCTTCGTGACTTTGCGCGGCTCCGCGGTCATCCAAATCTTCAGCTCCTCGGGGACGTCGCCCGCGAGGAGCTGTCGAAGCATCGCGTCGAACTTCACCCTGCCCTCCTGGTCCACGCTCGCGCCTATGGACCACACGAGCGCGAACAAGAACAGCGAGTCGAGCCACACCGCCTGCATGAGCTTGTTCATCTCCGCGACTTTCTCTTCGTCGCGGAACTCGTCGAGCAGAGACTCGTAGAGACGCATGAGCGATTGCGCGAGGTTGATCTCTTGCATCGGCTGCGGCTGCTTGCACATCTTCGTCGCGATGCGAAGGCACGGCGGGACGAGCCAGTCGAACATTCCGGTGATCTGCTCCTTCTGCGGCTCGTTCAGCGTCGGCGGGAGCGTGTCGAGCCAGGACAAGAACACCGGCCGCCAGCCGAGCAGCGAGGGTTGGACGTAGACCATCCCGCACCGCGAGACGGTGGCGGGGGACGCCACGGCCAGGTCCGCGACTTCGAAGATCATGTTCATGAGCCCCTGCATCGCGATGATCTCGCCGCTGTTTAAGCACAACTTCTTGTTGTCGTCGAGGACGGTGTTCATGTTTTCGATCCAGATGGCGTCCACGGGGCCGTCGAAGACGACCCACTTGCGGTCCGGGGAGGTATCCCTCGCGGCGTTTCGAAACGTAACCGCGAGGATGCCGTCCGCCCACTCTTTCGAGACGGGGTCCTCCGCGCCGTACAGCTGCCCCATCGTGATGCTCTTCGGGTTGATGCAGTAGTACTTCACCTTCTGCTCGCCGTTCTGGCCTTTCTCGTTGAGCTCGCCGAGCGCGCCCGCGAGCACGCTGATGCACGAGGACTTCATCCCGAACGACTCGCCGACGATCATCAACCCGTGCCGGACGATGATCATCTCGTAGAGTTGAATGATCTTCTCCTCGAAGCTCGGCAGCGGCTGCAAATTCGCCTTCTTGGTGTTGTTTCGCATCGCCGCGAGGAGGTTGTCGTAGTCAATCTCCGGGAGGTCGACGCCGGGGAAAAGGTCGCTCAAGATGCCGCGGAACAGCGGGACGTCTTGGTCTAAAAACTTTGGAAGGTTCACGTCCGTGATGGCGCGAAGCATGAGCACGTCCTCTCGCTCCTCCGTGAACTTCCGCTTCAGGTTACCCGCGGCTCTCAACACGGAGATCACCGCGCGCATGCCGTAGTCGTAGTGATCCTGCGACGACAGCTGTTCCGAGCACAGGCGGTACGTCTGCACGAGCTTCCGAGCCATGTCTCTCGCTTCGAGGTAGCCGAACGAGTAGAGAATAATCTCCGCGATCATCGCGTAATCCGGCACCATCATCGCGACGTCGCGGAACAACGCCTTGAGGTTATCCGGCAGCTCGGAGCGGCCGGCGTACCCGGGGTTCATCGTGATGAACACGTTCGCGGTGGGAATGATTCGCAGTTCGACGCCTTCAAACTCGAACGTCTTCACTTTCGCGGCGACCGCGCGCTGGATGCACAACACCTGCTGCGCCACGACGGATAAAACCTCGAGCTCGATGCGGTTGAACTCGTCGAAGCACGCCCACGCGCCGGACGCGGCGAGGCCTTTGAAGAACTTCCCCATCGCTTTGTAATCCAAACCGTCCGAGCAGTTGAACACGACGCACTGGATCGCGATCGCCTTCGAAAGATCCTTCGTCGTCTCCGTCTTGCCCGTCCCCGCGGGACCCGCGGGCGCGCCGCCCAAGTTGAGGTGAATCGCGCCCATCAGCGTCCGGTAACACCGATCCGTCAGCGGCGTGATGACCAACCGCGACGAGTTCCCGAGGTATTCGAACCCGTACTGCGCCTCCGCGTTGATCATCCTCACGCGCAGCGTCTCGTCCTCCCAAAAGTACCTCAACTGCGCGAGCCACTTGAAGTCGCGCGCGTCGCTCACGCCGTCCTCCGCCATCTGCACGACGACGTCTCTCGCGTGGACGTCGATGGTCACGAGCGCGCTCATCGTCGCGCGCTCGAGCTTGCTCAGCTCGCCGCGCACCATGTTGACGATGTTGGTCAAGTTCGCGTTGCTCTTCTCGCCGTACGCCGCGAGGCCCTTCGGGCCGTCCGCGACGATCGCGTCGGTGACTTCTTTCGTCCAGTACACCTGCGAGCCCGCGATGACGACCTGACCCGGCCAGTTGAGAATCCACTCTTCGCGCGAGACGGTGGCGTACTCCGCGATGGACTTCGCGGTGACCTCGCGCATGGACTCCTTCATGACGTCCTCGAACTCGAGCATCCACATCTCCACCGCGCCCGTCTCCGCGGGGTCGATCTCTTTGGACAGCGGCACGACCTCGCCCTCGACGGACACCATGGCTTTCATCGTGATCGCCTTCGTGAACTCCACCTCCTTCACCGCCTCGAAGCACTTCTTCATGAACGGCTGCACCTTGAGCGGGTCTTTCGCCTCGGACAGAATCTCCAGGAGCTCGTCGTTGGACAGGAAGAAGAACCGCGGGAACGCGAGCTTCTTCGTGTCGAGGAAGTCGTTCAGACCCTTCTCCACGACGTCGAGCTCCGCGTTGGCGCCCTGGAGCTTCTCGAGCAGATCCGGCATCTCCGCGCACGCGATCACCTCCGGCGTCGCGCGGACGTCCGAGCAAATCTGCCGCCACGTGGCGTCCATGGACATGAACGCCGCGCCCTCCGTCGGGATCTGCTTCATGATCTCCTCGCTCCCGAAGATGGGCTCGAGGTAGAGCCACTTCGCCTGGCACTTGAGCCACTGGTCGACGATGTCTTGCAACCGCAAGAGCTTCGCCTCCCACGGCGTCGTGCGATCCACGAACGGCTTCGCGAACGGCGACGCGCGCATCGCCTGCGTCTTCACGATGTGGTCGTCCAGCAGAGCCTGCGCTTCGTCGATGGGGCCGCCCTCTAAGATGAACGTCCCCGTCTCCTTCCACGGCTTGAGGCCGAAGCACAGACCCTCCCAGTCCACGAGCATCTTGTCGAGCGTCTTCTCGAAGCTCCACTCCCTGGACGCGAAGTCGCTGATCTCGATCAGCTTCGCGAGGTGCTGCGGCACGTTCTTGTCGATGAGTCGCTGCAGCGACGTGTACTCGTCCTTCTGCAGCGTGAACCCGGCGATGCCGATCACCTCGGTCATCGCCTCCCAGTGCCGGTCGCGCAACCCCGGGTTGCACACGGCGCCGATCAGCGGGAGGTGCGTCTTGAACGACTCGAGCTTCTCCTGCGCGGCGAGCGCGACGCGCAGCGCCTCCGGCTGCCGATCCCCGCCGGTCTGACCGCTGAACACTTTGACGAGCTTGAAGATGTTGCGCGAGTGGTCCGAGACTTCCTCTTCGACGGCTTCGTAGTCGAGCTTGGAGAACGCGCCCGTGAGCCACTGCTGCGAGTTGCGGAAAAACCCATTCGCGATGGTCCACAGCTTCCGGTACGGCTCCAACCGGTTGACGTACTGCGTGATCTGGTTAAACTTCGTCGGCGCCCACCCGAACAAGCGCTCGTTGACGTTGAGGTCCTCGCCGTACGACGTCGCGGCCGCGAGGTTCTCCGCGAGCTTCGTGACGATCTCCGCCACCTCGGCGCGTCTCGCGACGTCGCCCTCCGCGGCGAGGTCGTCGACTTCGTTCCTGTACGACATGATCTTCTCCTGGAACGCCGCGCGCTCCTTCTTGAGCTTGTCCTCGAACGCGCGCTCGGCTTTCTTGGACTCGATCGACGCGCCGCGCATGATCTCTTTCATCTTCGCCGGCCAGCCGTACGCCTCGATCGCGACGTCGAAATCTTCCTGCGGCGCTTCGTGGTAGTACCCCTCCAGAAACGCGTCGCGAGCTTTGTTCGCCTTGATCTCCAACCCGATCGCCTTCTCCTCCGCCTCGCAGTTCTTGATGTACTTGCGAAGGTTCAGCGCTTCCTCGTTCGTGGTGGGCGTTTTGACAACCTCTTCGGACATGAACGCGTACGCCGCGTTTATTTTTCGGTTCCCGTCCAGACACGCGGTTCGAACTTGATCTAGCAGCGCCTTCGCCGTCCTCGTCGCGACGTCCACGAGCGTCGTCTTCAGCGCGGTGACGTCGACGACGTACGCGCCCGCGCGGACGTGGTCCATCGACGTCGCGCGGACCGCCCTCGCCTTGGCGAAATACGCGTCGATCTCCTCCGCGTATTTCTCCAAGCTTCGATCCTTCTCCTTGAACTTTTGCAAAAACGCGTCCAAGTCGAGCGTCAGGAGGTCCAAGAACGGATCGAACAGCTTCGCGAGCGCGCGCGGCGCGATCGCGTTCCTCTCCATGACGCGCGTCACCACGTCTCGCGCGTTAACGATCGTGGCGTCGTCCAAGTCCACGACGCCGACGCACTCCGCGCTCGTCGTCGCGTCGTCGACGGCGCCGGCTTTCGGGAAACCTAGAGATTGTCGGGGTGGGAGTTGAAAGGCGTCAGGTGGAGTTGAAAGGCGCCGAGGGCGGGTATTGAAACCGAGGGGTGGGCGGAGAGATGCACCGGGAAAAGTCCTTAAGGAACGGCGTTCACCACGCGTGCGCGGTCGTATGGGGACCAGTGTGATATAGAACGCACCCGCGGCGGCGGCGACGAAGCGATCGAGCGCGGCGACGCACGTCTCCGTCACCGCGTCGAACGGCGGGTCGAACGACGTGCGCTCTTCGGCGGCGACGTCCGGGTTCAGGCGGACGACGAACGCCGCGGGCTTGGACCACGCGTGGATCGTCGACAGCGGATCGCACGTCGTCAATCGGTCCGAGACGTCGTGCGATTCGAAAAACGCCGCGTAGGCGTCGACGTTCTTTTGCACCAAGCCGCGGAGTTGGTTCGACTGCAGCGTCGCGATGGACTCGTAGAAGGCGTCCGCGTCGCCGTTCACGCACGCGGGCGGGTCGTCGTTGAACACGGCCGCGGTCTCGACGACCCACTCGCTCCATAACGTCTTCTTCAACGCCTCTCGCGTCTCCGTTTGGTGCGCGTCGAAGGCGGTCGACTCCACGGGCAGCGACGCGCGAAACGTCTCCGAGTCCACGTCCACGAACCGTCGCGTCGCGTATTTCGTCTCCCACGTCTCGCTCAAGATGAGCGCGTGCGGGTTCAACGTCTGCAGCGTCCACGCGACGTCCTCGCGAGACGCCTCCACGTTGGCGCGCCACTCGTACGGCAGCTCATCGTGCGGCCGCGAAACCTCGCCCGCTCTCGGGATCAAGCTCGTGAGCAACGTCAGGTCTAAGCGCTCGCGCTCGTTCGCGTTCGCGAGCGCGTAGTCCACGATCGACTTCTTCATCGCGCGCAGGTAGTCCTCCCTCGTCTCGTCGAGCATCCCGCGGAGGAGACGCGCGAACGTCTCGCGCGGCATCGCGCCGCTCGGCTCCGAAGGCGTCGACGCCATGATCTTCTCGTACCACGCCTCCTTCATCGGCGCGATCGTGTCGTCCGTCCGCACGCCGTGCTCGATGTAGTAGTAGTACCTCGTCACCGCGTCCGCGAGCGCGCGCTTTTGCGCCGCGGTGAAGCGATCCCGCGGTTTCGCGACGGGGAGGTCTGCGTCCGCGAACGGGCTCGCTGGCGCGCCGCCGCGGACGTAGTTCCCCTCCTTCAGCGGCACGACCGGCGTCTCGATCACGATCGGGACGCCGTCTTTCCTTCGCGGCGGGTGCGTCATCGTCGGATACGGCGGCAATACCTTATCCGCCGCTCGAACGGCTCTGAGCTTCTCTTCGTCGCGTTTCGCTTTTCTCGCGACGCCCGCCGCCGGCGGCGCCTCCCGCCGTTCCAACGCCCCCACGCTCGACGGCGTGTAGTTCGACCCTATGCGTCCGACCGGGGCGTGGTAGTACAGATCGTCCGCGTTCCCGAACGTCGCCGCGCGCGTGTACGTGGAGTACTCGTTGAGCATCGGCGCCGCGGAGGCTTTCCGGCGGCCCGTCACCGTCGCCGCCATCGCGCGCTCGTGCGACCGCGCGAAGGCGTCCGACGCGTCCGAGCGCGGGTCTCGGATCGCGTCGTCGAGCTGCGAGGAGGAGGAGGAGGAGGAGGAGGAGGACGCGCGTCAGCGGCGTGGGCGGGCGAGCGTCCGGCGCGACGGACGGACGCGCGGAGGAGACGCGAGGAGGCGACGGGTTCGGTTCGCGCGCGGGTCGGATCGCGACGAAGAAATCGTTTCGTTCGCGGGTACCGGTCAGTTGAAAGGGGATGCGATCAAATGTTGAAACCGGACAACCCTATTCGGTCGATATCGAGGCGGAGGACGCCGGTGCTGCGCGAGGGAAAAGTCCTTAAGGAACGGCGTTCACCACGCGAACGGGGTCGTATGGGGACCAGTGTGATAACAACAGAATCGGGGGCGCGAGATCGATCGACCGAACGCCTCGCGTCGTCGCGCGATACGCACCGACGCGACCGCGCCCACGACGAGATCCGGCGCGACGTCCCTCAGCGCGAAGAACAGCTGCTCGTCAATCCTCGGGAGCGGCTTCTGGAACGGGTCGACGTCGAAGCGCTCCAGCTCCTCCTCCGCGTCCGAGTCGTACGACGACGACTCGCTCTGCGAGAGATGAGATGAGATAGATGAGTCGGGGGACGGCGACGACGACGATGAGTCGACGGTCGACGACGCGCGGGGCGGACGAAGGGGACGGGGGACGGTCGTCGGGGAATCGCGCCGCCCGGCGCGCGGGGAGGCGTCGAGACGCACCGAGCCCGCGCGCGTCTCCGTCGCGACGCGCGTCGCCATCGTCGCCGACGACGACGAACGGGCGGATGGGATGGAACGGAGGTGGAGGATGGACGGGGCGGGGTCGGCCGCGCGTCGTCCGTCCGAGCGCGCCGCTCCCGGGTTCCCTCGCGCGCGCGCGCCGCGCGATCGCGCGTCCTCGCGACGCCGCCTCCGCGTCTCTCCCCCGACGACGAGCGCGGTTCCTCCCGCGACGGTCCTCGCGCGGCGCGGGGGTCGTCGCGCGTCGGAATGGAGGTGGCAGCGCCAAAACCGGGTCTCTCGCTCGCCGCTCCGGCAGAGCATCGAGGGGCGGTCGGTCGCACCATGCCGACCGACCGTGTTTTACATGCCGGAGAATTGTATCGGCAGCGAATCGACGGAGATACTTTAATCGCGATATTTCCGCGCTTAATCGGAAGACAGGCTGTCCGTCCGCGCCGTGACCCGACAGTTCGCGCGCACGTTAATCGGACAGCGCGATGAAGTTTGACCGGCTGGCAAATATCGTGCGTTTTTTCGTGTCCCGCCGCGCGAAAACGGAGATACTTTGCATTTCCCCGCGGCAGGGAGACACAACGACGCGCGCGCGCTCCACACGCGACGCGCTCTCGAACGCTCACGCTTCGCGGTCTCGTCCCTCGCGCGACTCGCGAGCGACTTCTCGCCTCGCGCACTCCGCGCGGCCGGCTCGCGAGGTCGAGACGCGCGGAATCCGCGCGGAAGCCGAAGGCGCCGTCGACCGAGTCAAAAGAGCGCCGGGTTTCGACCGCGCGGCGATGGCGACGGTGACGGTCGCGCCGACGCGCGTCGCGTCCGAAAGCGCGTCGCAGTGCACGACGAGCGCGCCCACCGCGACGGACTGCGACCTCACGAAGGAGATCATCCTCGCGGCGTATCGCCAAGACGCGAAGAAGGTGAAGGAAGTCCTGACGCGATGCGAGGCGGGCGCGACCGCGGGGATGTCTTTGTCGCGCTCCGCGGCGGTCGAGCTGTTGGGCGAGGAGGTGTACCTCGGCTCGCACAGCTGGAGCACGCAGGAGGGGTTCCCGGTGATGTACTTCGCGGGTGCGTCTCGACTCGGGACGCGTCGCGCGCGTCGGCCTCGGCCCCCGCGGCGCGCGCGCGGTGTTAGATTTCCGCGTTTCCTTTTTCCCGCGAAACAACACCTCAGATTTCGCATTCCCCGCGCGGGGAGGACGCGCGGCGCGCGACGCGACGCCGCTCGCGTCGCGCGCGCGTCGCGATCGAGCGCCGAGATCGCTCGAGAAGCTTCCTCGCGCGAATCGCGCGTCGTCCCGGCTCGAACCCGCGCGAGGGGACGCGCGAACCGCGACGCGGCGAGATCCGTTAGAGCCTGCGCGAAGAGAAGAAGAGAGACGGGATCTTTTTCGGCAGCTTTCGCCTCGCTGGCACTTTGATACTTTTTCAAGCGCTCCCTTCGACCGAAGACCTGACGAACCCTCCGCCCCCACTCCCTCCCTCCCTCCCTCCCGAATCTTCTCGCAGCTAAATGGGGCGGCACCGAGGTCACGAAGCTCCTTCTCGAGTCCGGCGCGGCCGTCGCGCCCGCCACGACGCTCGGCGTCCAGCCGTTACACATGGCTGCGCAGGAGGGCCAAGTCGACGTCGCGCGTCTCCTCGTCGCGCACGGCGCGCCGTGCGACGCCACCGACCGCGCGGGCTGGTCCGCGTTCCACTACGCCGCGAACCATCGATGGGCGACGTGGGAGCGAGGCATCGAGGGGCAGCTCGCGGTGCTGCGACTGCTGAAGGAGTGCGGCGCGCGCGTCGACGCGGAGGACGGCGAGGGGTACACCGCCGTGCACTCCGCCGCGCAGTCGGGGAAAACGGAGATTGTTTCGCTGCTGCGCGAGCTCGGCGCCAAGCCGGACGCGACGACCGTCCGCGGCGTCATGCCGATCCACGTCGCCGCGGAGGGGGGAAGAGCCGCGGTGGTGGAGGAGCTTCTGGACTGGTGCCCGGCTCTTCTCGAGGCGGAGGACTCGCGCGGGCATCGACCGGTGGACCACGCGAGCTACCACGGCCACGCGGCGGTGGTCGAGACGCTGATTCGCCACGGCGCGGACTGCGCGAACCCGTCGCCGGCGTCGTGCGAGAGGAACGCGGCGTATACGGCGGCGGCGGCGGCGGCGAACGGCGGAGATCAAAACGGCGAGCCGCAGAGGGCGCGAGGGACGACGCCGCTGCATCTCGCCGCGCGTAGCAACGCGTTCGACGTCGTCGCAGCGCTCCTCGCCGGCGGCGCGGACCCGACGCGGCTGGACTCGCACGGGTGGACGCCGCGTGAGCTGGCGAGCGAGTGCGCGCGGAGGCGTCACGGAGGCGGCGAGGCGCACGCGCTCGCGCACCGCGCGATCGACGCGGTACTCGAGCGCGCGGAGCGAGGCGTGCCGATGCTGTGGAGCCGCGCGAGTCACGCGTCGTACCCGCGCGCGTTTCGAGAAGAGACGAAGGCGACGGTGCGGAGCATCAACCTGCCGCTGTGGCGGTTCGGCGCGCGCGGGCTCGCCGCGGACGCCATCACGGACGACGTGATCAGGCACAACGCGAAGCGCGTGTGGCCCGAGGTGGAGTCCGAGGCGCTGTGGGGGTTGGTAACGAGAGTGCGCGGGTGCGTCGAGGCGCGGCTTCGCACGAAGGACGCGGCGCGCAGGAAACGGTCCAGGGGCGCGGCGTTCGCGGCCAGCAGCGCGCCTCGCGAGCTCGGGTGGTACGGCGCGCCGCCGAACGCGCTGAAGTCGCCGCGGGGCGACGGCGCGAGCGGCGCGGGCTCGAACGTCCCGCGGGGGGGGCGGCGGCGGAGCCGCGACGACGACGGCGCGGAGAGCGCGCCGCCGCCGCCGCCGCCCGCGCCGGACGCGTCGCGTCAGATGCAGATTAACCTCGCGGCGGTGTACCACCAGCTGCACCTGCAGTCTATCCAAGCGCACTCATGCGCGGCTTGAGAAGAAGAAGACGAATACGAATACGACGACGACGACGACGACGACAGAGTGAGATGATGATGACTACGCGCGACGTCATGTACGAACACGGGATGAAAAGAAAGACGGAATTAAGAAGAAGACGGGAAGAAGAAGAGAAAGAACGAACGATAATACGCGGACACCGCGACTTGTACCTTACCTTTTGCACGCGCGCTGCTTTCTAGTTTTGACGAAGAGACGCGGACGTCGCCCAGGGGCGAGAGACGCGCGCCGACCCTTTATTAATACGGCGCGCGGCTTCCTCGCGGGCGTCCACTCGGTAGATGCTCTTGTAAAGAATGAACTTTGAAAAAATCAATCGTGGCTTCGTCTGCTACTGCAGCTAGACTAATTCGCTAGCTAGCAGTGCCCCGACCCGCACCCTCCGCCGCCGCCGCAGCCCCCCCCGCCGCCGCCCCGGTGCGCCGCCCGCTTCGCCGCCTCCACGCGCTCGTTGATCGCCTCCTTGTCGTACCCCTCGTCGTACAGCTGGCGTTTCATCTGATCGTCCATGATCTCCAGCGCCTCGCCGAGCGACTTGAAATTCTTCTCCGCGGCGGCCCTCTCCTCCTCCGTCCCGCTCGCGTGCCTGTCCGGGTGCCACTCCATGCAGCGCTGCTTGTACGCCTGCTTGATCTCCGGCACGGACGCGACGGACGACACGCCCAAGATGGCGTAGTAGTCCGGCCTCGCCGCCTTCTTCACCTCGAACGCAGCCTTCTCGTGGTGCCGCCGCGTCGTCTCGTCCGCCGGGTCCATCTCGAGCAGCTTCTCGAGGACTTCCTTCGCCTCCGTCGGTCGCCCCGTGTTCAACAGCGCCGTGGACATCGTGTAGTACGCGGGCTTGTAGTCCTCCTGCGATTCGATCGCGGCGCCGCAGTCTCTCAACGCGTCGTCGTAGGCTTTCAGACGCAGGTGCGCGTTGGCGCGCTCCGCGAGCGACGCCGCCGTCAAAGGCGACGAAACCGGCGCGTCCGCGGCGGCGAGCGCGTCCGTGAACGACTCCACCGCGGTGGTAAAGTCGCGCTTCGCGGCGGCTTGCCTCCCGCGATCGAGCGCGGCGCCCGCGCGTTTCATCCGCCGGTGCAGCGATTGAGCCTCTCGGTGATCCGGATCCAATCGCAGCGACTCCTTCAGGTGCTTCATCCCCTGATCGAAGTCCGTCTTGAGACAGAGCGCGTGCCCTCGCACCGCGTACGCGTGCACGTTGCTCGGCTCGGCGCGAATGACTTGCAGCGACAGCCGCAGCGCGCGATCGCACCGACCCAGCCCTGTCTCCGCCCTCGCCGCGCCGAGCGTCGCCGCCGCGCACTGCGTCGCGCCCATCGCCGCGGCGTAAATCTCCAGCGCGAGGGCGTACTCCTCACGCGCGAGCGCGTCGGCGCCGCTCGCGAGGTAGCCCGCGAGCGCTCGAACGCGCGCGTGCTCCTCCTCGAGCTCCTTCTTACCCGGACACTTCAACGACGCGACGCGCAGCGACTCCTCCGCGGCGGCGACGTCGGACTGCTCGCACAGCGCCTTCGCGAGCCTGAGGTAGCCCTTGACGTACCCCGGATCGAGCGCGATCGCGCGGCGGCAGTCGTCCGCGCACTCCTTCGCGGCGCCGCAGTGCAGCCACGCCGCGGCGCGGTTGCCGTAGTAGCTCGCCACGCCCGGCGCCGCGGAGATGGCTTTCGAGTACAGCTGGATCGCCTCCTGGTACTGCCTCGCCTGGAACTTCGCGTTCCCTTGGTCTTTCAGCGCCTCCGCGTTCGCCTTGCCGCTCTCCGGCGCGTAGTCCCGCCCCGCGAGGTGCGTCCCGCTGTTCGTGAGGTGCGACGACACCTCGCTGAGGTCGCCGCGCCACGCGCATCCAGACGCGTGCAGCGGGCATCGCACGCGGACGCGTCCGAGGAGGCGCCACGCGAGCGGGGACGCGTCTTTGAGCGTCGAGACGTCGTCGCTCGCGAGCGGGGTGTTGCACGTCGGGCACCGCGGCGGGTTCGGGTTCACGCCGTGCGCCGCCGCGTCGTTCTGGACGTCCTGGTCGCCGCAGCGCGCGAGCCAGTCGTGCAGGCATCCCGCGCAGAACACGTGCGCGCAAATCGTGTGCGAGCACTTGGTGTACTCCACGAGGTCCTGGCAGATCTTGCACTGGAACTCCTCGACGACGCCGGAGTCCTCGGACGCGAGGACGTCCGCGAGGGGGAAGCCCATGACGCGTCGCGCGAGTCGGTGAACGGAGGGGAGGTCGCGCGCGCGAGGAGACGACGACGGCGAATGGAGAGAGGTCTCGGTCCGTACTTCGTTTCTTCTCGACTCTTCGCGAGCTTCGTTTTTCGCGCGCGACGTCATCTTCGGTACGTACAGGTGCAGGTGTAGAGGGGCACAGCGCAATTAGTCAGAGTACACGTACGCATAGATTTTTTCGCGTTCGTGTAGAGGGGCACAGCGCAATTAGTTAGAGTACGCATAGATTTTTTCGCGTACAGTACTCCGGCGCGGCGAGACTCATTTTTCGTTCGCTGAGCTTTGTTTTTTCCGCGCTCGCGTCCGCGCCCGGCATACCGAACGCACCTTGACGCAACATGCGCGCCAAGTGGAAGAAGAAGCGCACCCGCCGCCTCAAGCGCAAGCGCCGTAAGATGCGCATGCGATCAAAGTAAACGACGCGCGTTTAATCGACGACGTTTAAGAGGTTTTAGAACACGTAGTTCGCGCGGGTCCCGCATCCGCCGAAGGTTTTAGACGCGAGCATCGACTGCCCAGCAGCCGGTCCGCGCTCGGAGCGACGACACGGCCGTCTCGTGAGCGAACATGAGGGAACTCAAGTTTCACGAGCGGAAGCTCCTCAAGAAGGTCAACTTCCTGCAATGGAAGAACGAGCACAACCACCGCGAGGTCGAGGTCATGCGCAGGTACCATCTGCAAGGTGCGTTCGGGGAAAAAACACGCGCGCCCCGCGAACCCTAATACGACGCGACGCGAGATCCCGCGCGCGCGGCGACGACGGACGCGACGTCGCGAGGCGCGCGCCCTCGCGCGACGCGCGCGCGGACCGTCTCCGACGCGCGCGGCCGTCTCTCGGACCTCGCGCGCGTCGACGCGGCGTCGACGCCGCGTCGCGTCGGCGGTCGTCGTCGTCGTCCTCGTCGGGGAAATCGGTCGCCTCAGGGTTTTCAGGTGCCATCTTCATTCACTCTCAGACCGCTGACGTCTCTTGGCCCCCGCCCGCCGCGCCTCCCGTCCATCCTCCGCGCGCAGACCGCGACGATTACAAGAAATACAACAAACTCTGCGGGATGATCACCAAGCTCGTCAACGTGCTCCGCCAGATGGACTCTCGAGATCCGGACCGCGTGGAGCTCACCGACGGGTTGCTCGAGAAGCTGTACAACCTGGGGGTGATCCCTTCGAAGAAATCGCTCGCGCTGTGCGATAAGCTGTCCGTGTCGTCGTTCTGTCGTCGCCGTCTCTCGGTGATCATGGTCCGTCTGAAGATGGCGGAGACATTACGAGAGGCGGTGACGTTCATCGAGCAAGGGCACGTTCGCGTCGGACCGGAGACGGTGACGGACCCGGCGTTCTGCGTGACGCGAAACCTCGAGGATTTCGTCACGTGGGTGGACACGTCCAAGATCAAGCGCAAAGTCGCGGCGTACAACGACAAGTTGGACGACTACGACCTCCTCAACGCGTGACGAGGAGGATGAGAAGAAGAAGACGCGACGGCGTATCGCCGTCGTCGACTCGGTCGCTTTTCCTTTTCGTCTCTTGGACGGTTTTCGAGGGCTTAGCCCGCGCGCGTCGAATAGAGTGGGCGAAGAATACTCGTCATCGCCCGTTGTAACGAAACGCGCAAGTTCTCGGAACGAAAACACGCACACGATTCTTCTCTCTCGCGCGAGGCGTCTATGCATATATAAATTACGACGCGAACGCCGCGCCCTACGCCCACCCTCTCAGAACCCCCGGGATCTCCCTCAGCGACGTCACGACGACATCCGCGACGACGCTCGCGTCGGGCGCGTCTTCGCCGGCGTCGAAAATCTTCGCCGCGCTCCCCGGCCACGGCACCACCTCCGGGGAGTCCACCATGATCGTTCGAAACCCGCCGTGTGTCTTCGCCGCGCCGCAGTCGTTCACGACGTCGTCGCCGATGTGCACCCACGCGCTCGCGTCGCCGCTCCACGGGCCTTTCGCGTGCGCGCGCGCGTGGAGTTTAGCGCGCGTGAACATGAACCCTGCGTGGGTGAAGCGATCGGTCAGTCGAATGTCTTACCGGTCAAACGTTGAAAGGGAAGCGCGGGTGAAGAGTGACGACGGGAAAAGTCCTTAAGGAACGGCGAGCACCACGCGAACGGGGTCGTATGGGAAGCAGTCTCACCGCCGGGTTTCTTCGCGTCCTCGCCGTGCTGAGACGGATGGGAGAATACGATACGATCGGTCAGCGGATCGCGAGAGAGTGATTCGATTGGATTGGCCGTCGCGGTGTCACGTCAGAGGAGGGAGTACACCAACCAATGCGCGATGGACGCGTGGATGAAAACAAACGAACGCGACGAACGCACCACGCCTTCCGAGTCCATCAGCTCGTCCGCGGAGATCTCAAAGTCGAAAAACTCTCCGAGCCCCGCGCTCGCCGCGCTGCCCAGCCCGTTCGTTATGCTCCCGATCGCGGCGTTCGGGTGGTTCGCGCGCAGCTCCCGCAGCATCTCCCGCGCGCCGTCGAAGAGCAGCTCCGCGGCCTTCTCCCCCCGCGCGGGGATCCACGCGAGGTGGTACCCGCGACTGACGGATGATGACGGGGCGAGCGCGTGCGAAATGTCGGTCAGTTGAAAGGGGACGCGATCGAGAGTTGAACCCGAGCGGTGGGTGAAAAACGCGCACCTCACGATCGACACCGCGTCGTGCACGGGGACACCGAGCTCGACCGCCGCCACGTTCGCGGCCGCGATGCGAAGCGACGCGAACGACAGCGGGAAGTGGCGGTCGTTGTCTCTCCTCGCGAGCGCCTCGCGCTCCGCGCGGACTCTCTGCGCGGGCGGGGGGGCGGGAGGGGGGAGGAGGGGGAAGGGGTGAGGAGGTGCCGAGATTCGGGGGCGGACGGACGAACGGCGGATGGCGGGTCCGCGACGTTCCGCGCGGCGTTCCGCTCGCTCGGCGACGTGCCTTCATGTACTCGTTCACGCCGGCGGTGTCCGGGAACCCGGGTATCCTCTCCGAGCAAAAGTCCACGAACGCTTGGTTCGCGTGCGCGACGACCGGCGTCGTCGGCCAGAGCGTGTCGTCGAGGTCGAACGTGATGACCTCCACGCCGGACGACGACGACGACGTCGCGGATGCGGCGACGCGCGCGGACGCGCGGCGAGACGACGAGCGAGCCACCGCGCGGCGCGCGCGTCGCGGGCACGATGTCGCCGCGGCGCGCGCGACGCCGCGAGCGGCGGCGAAGGACGTCGACATTCCCGACGTCGGTCGAGAGCGCGCGCTCGAGAGAGTGGACGACGACGACGACGACGACGTCGACCGCCTCCTCAGCGCGACGACAGGACGAACGACGAAAACACGCATCCCGACGCCCAGTGCCATGACGCGCGGGGTCGCTCTCGCGTCGGGGATCGTCCCCCGCGCGCTTCGCGCGTCGTCGTCGTCCGCGTCGAGACGCGCGACGTCGACGAGAGCGCGCGTCGTCGTCGTCGCGACGGCGTCGTCGGACGCCTCGCGGACGTTTCTTCGATCTCGTCGTCGCGTCGGCCATCATCATCATCATCGTCGTCATCACGGATCTCGCGTCGTCGTCGTCGTCGCCGCCGCCGTCGACGCCTCCCCTCGCGCGATGCCGCGCCGCCGCGCCGCCGCGCGGACGCCGACGGTGTCGTCCCGCGCCGTCGTCGCGTCCGCGTCCACCGCGGCGGCGGACGCGAACGCGCCGCTGTTCCCGCACCTCGACCTCGACTTCCGCGCGCGCGTCTCGCCCGCCGAGCTCGCGCGGTGCGTCGCCGCGGCAGCCGTCGTCACCGCCGTGTGCGCGCTCGCGTCGACGCGTCACCCGCTCGCGCGCGCGCTCCTCGCGACGACGCCGCGCGCGGTGCGCGTCGCGTGGGCGCTGGCGACGTTCGTCGTCGCGCTGTTCGTCGCGCGATGGATCGCGCTCGAGGCGAAAGAGCAAGCGCGGCTCGTCGCCGCGGAGGACGCCGCGGACGAGGACAGCGCGTTCGCGGCCGTCGACGGCGTCGGCATCGTGCACTACAAGCTCCGCGCGCCGAACAACGACGCGAAGGACGAGACCGACGCGTCTAAGCGAGACGTCGCGACCGTGGTGTCGTGCGTGCACGGGTTCGGCGCGAACGCGTACAGTTTCGAGCGCGCGACGGCGGCTCCGCTCGCCGACGCGTTGAACGCCGTCGTCGTCGCGCACGACAGCCCCGGGTTCGGGCTCACCGAGCGCCCTCGCGATCTGCGCGCGTACACGCCGAGGGCGAACGCGAAGGTGTGCCGCGCGATGCTTCGACTCGCGGAGGCGAAGGCGGAGGACGCGACCGGATCGAGGACGCCCCTGAGGCGCGTTCATATATTACACTGGTCCCCATACGACCGCGTTGGCGTTGTGAACGCCGATCCTTAAGGACTTCTGCCGGCGTCTCTCTCCGCCCATCACCCCTCGCTTTCAATCCCGACACGCCTCGGCGCCTTTCAACTCCGCTTCTGACGCCTTTCAACTCCACCCCGACGTTCGCTCGTATAGGACGCCCCCGAGGAGAGTCGCCGTCGGGCACAGCATGGGGGCGCTCGCCGTCGCGCTCGCCGCGGGGGAGGGAGGGATCGACGACGTCGTTCTCGTCGCGCCGGCGATCGTGCCGAAGAGGAGGAGGAAGAATACGGAACGTCAACCGGCGCGGAAGCGCCTTTGGACGCGGCCGCTCGGGGTTTTGATCGCGCTGGCGTCCGCCGTCGCGCGCGTCGTCGTCGCCGCGCTCGCGCGCGCGCTCTCTCCGTTCCTCGTCCTGTTCCTTCGCAAGATCGTCCGCAACGCCGCGTTCTGGCGCGAGGGGCTCGCGAGCGCGGTCGGGTCCCCGATGCGACGCGTCATGCGCGACGACCGGAGCTGGACGGACGGGTACCGCCGCCCGAGCGTCGTGACCGGGTGGGATCGCGGGATGGCGCGGGTGGTGCTCTCCGCGGCGACGGGCGGGCTCGACGGCGTGGCCGCGACCGCGCGCGACGGCGCGCGCAGGGTGGCGCGCGCCGTCTCAGGCGAGGAGAGCGGCGAAGAAGACGCCGCGGAGGCGCTGGCGAGGAGCGGCGCGAGGGTGCTGATCGTGCACGGCGACGAGGACGTCATCGTGCCGAGGTCGAACAGCGAGAAGCTCGCGGCGGCGCTGCCGCGCGCGGAGCTCGTCGTCGTGCGCGGGTGCGGGCACATGCCGCACGAGGAGTGCCCGGACGTGTTTCTGGACGCGGTGCGGGCGTTCTTGAGGAAGGGCGAACGCGGCGGCGACGGCGACGACGCGGGCGCGGGCGCGGGCGTCGAGAAGACGTGACGCCGCGTTCGTTCGTCATCGTCTATCGTCTATCGTCTATCTTCTTCCTTCCCTCTATTCGAGCTCTAGCTTCTTCATCCCGTCCGCCGCGTCCTCGGCGGCGGCGGCGGCGGCGTCGCCACCGTCGGGGACCGTCCCCGTCCCCGTCCCCGTCCCCATCCCCGTCCCCGTCCCCGCCGCAGCCGCCGCCGCCGCTCCCTCCGCGCCGTCTCCCGCGCTCTTCGTCTTCTTCTCTCGAATCGCGTCCAACGACGCCTCGTCCTCGAGCTCCGGGAACATCGCCTTGAACGTCCCGTGCGTCCTGTTCCACGCCGCGCTCTCCCTCGCGAGCCGTCGCTTCTCTTCCTCCGTCGTGACCACCGCGCCCGTGGTGACCGCGTCTTCGAGCATGAACGACAGCAGCCCTTTCGCGACGGTCGCGACGCTCCATCCGGGATTCCACGACTCCGGATGAAAGTCGGACATGCTCAGGCACAGCCGCGTCCCCGTCGCGAACCTCCCGTTCGGCGTGCACATGAATATCGACGGCGGCTTGAACGGGTACTCGCCAGGGAACTTGAGCTTCGCGACGTACCACCCGTCCTCGAACGGCGTGCCGTGCGGGCCCTCCATGAGGAGATGCCACTCGAGCATGTTGCGCTCGTTGACGTGCACGCGCGGGATGAACGGCGGCGGGTCTTGGACGAACGCGCGCATCTCCTTTTGCAGGCGCACCTTCGACGTCTTCTTCGACATGACCGACGCCCGCGATCCCCCGCCCCGGCGGGAGGGAATGGCGATCGGACGGTTGGATCTGATACTCGTACCTGCCGCTCGAGAAATAAAAAATCGGCGCCGCCGCCCGCTCGCCTCCCGCCGTCGTCGCGCCCAGAAACGCTCGCCTCCGAGCGACGAACGCGCGTCGACGTCGCGCACACCCGCGCACGCACGCCGCACGCGCACGCTCGATCGCGCGCGTCGAACACACCGTACGCGCGCCCATCCCTCGCTCTCTCCCCCCCCCGCCGCCGCCGTCGTCGCCCTCGCGCGTTCACCATCATCACCGCGGCGCTCGCTCAACGTGCGTTTCGACGTCCCCTCGCACTTCGTTATTCGCGTCGCAGGAACGAAGAACGCCCGTCACGATGTCCCCCCCCACCGCCCTCGCCGACGACGACGACGACCGCGGCCCGCTCGCGTACAACGAGGAGACCGGCGAGGCGAGAGACCCGATCGCGTTCAGGGACGCGCTCATCGCGGACCCGGAGAAGCTCGCGGCGATCGAGGCGGACAAGGAGCTCGCGGCCGCGCTCCTCGGCGACGACACCGCGAAGATCCAAGCGACGCTCATGCGGCTCTTCGACCTCACGAAGAAGCGCGAAGACCGCGAGAACACGCAGATGCTAAACTCCCCGGATCTCCTCCGAAGCGGCTGCACCGTGCCGCGCGACCCGACGGCGCTGTACAAGCAGATGCGCAAGGTGGGGCTGGAGTACGGCCCGAGGTTTCGGCTCCTCACGCAGGTGTGGATCCCGGAGGAAACCGCGCGTTTACAACGCGCCGCCGCCGAGGAACGCGGCGACATCTGAACGGGCGGACGGAAGGCGAACCGACGTTTGGAAGTCGAACGGACGCGTGGCGAGGTGAGGTGAGGCGCGCGCGCGGCGTTGAACGACGACGCGTCTTTCGCTCTGTAAGTAACGCGCGCCGTGAGCGTTCCCACCCTAATAACGTACACGCGAGCGGCGCGCGCGACGCCGCCGCTCGCCTCGACAATTTCGCGAAGCCCACCCGCGCGCGAAGATTAGATTAGATTCTCCCCCGTCAGGTCGTCGTCCTCCTCCGTCACTTCGCCAAGAAGTTCGTGAGCCAGTCCGCGCCCTCCTGCAACCCCGTCCCGGTCAGCGCGTTCGACGGCACGATCTGCCACGGATGCTGATCGATCTCGTCCAGGCTCAGCCCTTGCGCGATGTCCACCGGCGACAACGCCGCGGGGACGTCCATCTGACGAGGGTCGTCGTCCATACGAAGCGAACGTCGGGGCGGAGTTCAAAGGCGTCAGAAGCGGAGTTGAAAGGCGTCGAGGTGTGTCGGGATTGAAAGCACCGAGGGGCGGGCGGAGAGAGACGCCGGGAGAGAAAGTCCTTAAGGATCGGCGTTCACCACGCGGACGCGGTCGTATGGGGACCAGTGTGAAGGAGGACGCGCCTTGTTCGCGAAGAACAGAAACGGCTTCCCGCGTAAATCCCGCGACGACAGCATCGCGTCGAGCTCGTCCTTCGCGACGCACAGCCGGAGCTTATCCGCGCTGTCGACGACGAACATCACCGCCTTCGCCTCGCGGTAGTGCTGCTCCCAGAGGTTGCGGTACCGACCCGCGCCGGACATGTCGAAGACCGTGAACGCGACGCCCCCCTTGCTGAACGTGTCGACGTTGAAACCCACCGTCGGCGTGACCTCGTTCGCGCCCTGCGCGCGTCTCCGACTGCCGCCGGTCTGGAGTTTCATCTTCTCGATGATCGACGTCTTGCCGCTGTTGTCCAGGCCGACGATGAGGACGTTCACCTGCGATGGAAGGGAGGCGGTCGGGGGGAGCGGATGAGCGCGCGCGCATTTATTTTTTCGTGCCGCGAGATGGACGCCGGGACGCGGGGACGCGACGACGGGGTGGGGGGTCGCCGCGCGCGACGACCGCGACGAGAGCGGCGCGTCGCGACGACGACGGCGTCGCGGGGACGTCGCGTGCCTTGGTCTTCTTCTTGGACAGCCCGAAAAGGCGCGCGAAGAACCCCATGACGCCGACGCCGTCGCGCGCGGGAACGACGGCGACCGCTCTTCCCCCCGCCCGCCGAGGCGCTGCGACTTAATGATCCGACGCCCGCGTTGCCCCGCGCGGCGGCTCTCCGCGCGCGCCGCGAGCGCGCCGCGAGCGCTTCCGCGACCTCGCGCGGGTCGATGCGCGCCTCGTGAGACGACGGCGCGGCGTGAGCTGCGCGGCGGCGACCGGAGGCGTGCCGTGGCGCGTGCTTCTCTGCCGTCGACCGCCCTCGCATCGTCGTGCCCACTACTGTTAGAGTGTTGACTCGCGCATAATTTCTTAGCAACATTTTCCGGGCTCATCGCATCGCCCGTGGCCGACAGAAGCACCGCGCACGCCATGGGAGCTCCGCGGCGCGTCGCGGCGGCATGGACCGCCGCCGCGCTCGTGCTCGCACTCGCGATGGCGTGCGCAGACCGCGCGGACGCGTGGGGCGCGGCGAAATCGCCCGGTGCGCGCGGCGACGAACGTTCGATCGATCTCGAACAGTCAATCAATCCTTCGATCCAACTCGTCGACGGTCCTCCGTCGCCCGTCCCCGATCCGTCGCTCACCCTCCTCCGACCTCCCCCCCCCCCCCACC